GGGGGCTCCGAGCCGGCGGTTCCTGGGCTGCGGGGCGACCCTGCACGCCCCGGGCCTGGCGCCTTCCCCGGGGCGACAGCGGCCTCTGCCACCCTGGGAGCGGGACCCTGCGGGCTCTGCCCGTGCCCCGTCCTGTCCGAATCCAGCGCCGTGCGGGGACATTTCAGTTCAACTCGTGCTGAGCTGGAGCCTCTCGTAGGAGAGGACTTGTAATTTGGGGGTCTGCTGCGCTTGAGGAGCAACGCAGCAGGGTGAGGAGGGAGTTCCCAAAGGTATTTTTCTTTTAAAAGCTACATTTTTAGGTGTGCCTTCATGTTGTGACCTCCAGTAATAAATCTGTGCTAAAACCTGGTCTCCTTTGCCTGTTCTACATAAAACACCTGGCTTCCCACTACATGATGTGGTGCAAACATCCCACTGAGTCAGAAGCGCCTGGTTTCTGGTTCTCTCTTGTCAGTGGGGCAGTTCAGCGAATCTTTCTTCAATATCTCAAGTCTAAAAATGTCGCTAAGAACTGCTGCAGATACTCCTTTATCTCGGTAGGTTATGCAAGATGAGCGAGCAGACAGACCTCTAGTAGTTGTGCGGGTGATCAGTGCTAGGATTTCTTTTATTTGTACAGTTACTCCACAGACGGTGAATCTGCATGGATCTGAAATTCATGACAGCTGGCTCTCGCTTTGGTACAAAACCACACAGTTGTTTTAAACAAACAAACAAAAAAACCCCCACCAAAACCCTGAGAAATGTGTTACTGTAGAAGGCAGAGACACTCAGCAGCAATTTAAGCAACTGAAAGTAGGTTGCAGTTACTGTGGAATTGTTCTGACATGTCGCTGTACTGTTCTTCCCACAGTGGTGCTTGAGAAAGACAGGCTGAAGGACTTGTTTTAAGGTAACTTCTTTTCCCATCATACCCAGCACATTTTGACAAGCACAGTTAAGCTTTCTGGCAGTGCCTTTTAAAATTCCTCGTTTCCTGAGCAGCACTGAGAGCTGTGTGTGCCAGCTAAAGCTCTTAGGGCAGAGACGTGGGAAGGTAGAGATTGAATATTTCCTTCTGAATGGTTACAACTTAAACCTTTTCTGATGCATTCAGTCAGGGCTGAGAGGCAAAAGTGAGATTTTCCTTGTTTTGTTCAAAAAGGGAAGCCCTAGGTGCGAAGATCAGCATCCCAGTGGCAGAAGGGTTTCAGTTTTGAGTAGAGGGTGGTCCCAGGGAGTGCACTAAAACCATCCACAAGACTTTAACATAGCGTGGTCCACCCGGTTCCCAGTTACCTGAAGCCGGTGAGGATTAAGAAGTCTGGAGTTAATTTTAAAACAATAATTTGTTCATTAGGTTGTCTGGGAAAGGGACAGGAAATTAGGGAAAGTGAACAGCAAACATGGCATTGGTACTTTTATTTTTTTAAATTGGACCAGTCGATGCATTTGGGCAAAGGGGTCAGTTTTGAGGTAGGAACTCAGAGCCTGAGAGCATCCCAGTTTTATGTGTTAGTCAAAGATACTGTGGTCTTGTCAATCTGTCTTTTAAATCAACATATGATGCATGATATTGTTGTGCTTCTTGGTGAAGCTGCATGAAATTGCTTTGTTGTTTGTTGAGCATCTCTTCACAGGTTGCTGAGGTCCTGGTTACAAACCACCTTTGGGTTTTCTGGTATGCAAATATGAATCCTTCCCCCTCCAGTTCTGCTTTGCTCCTCCAGTTTGGTTTATTCACTTCCAAAGAGTGCTGGAAAATAATCATATTTTATTGTTATAAAATGATCCTTGAGGTTTGTCTTCTGGCAAGGCAAGGTGCTAGGCAAGCTTTTCAGCTCCCAAGATAAGTGTTGCTGATATGGCTGTTTCATTTATCTTTTTTTTTTTCTTTTCTTTTCTCCCCACTGTCAGCAATTCAGACCAGATAACACTGGGAATTCTTTCAAATGTCCTCAAAATGTGAAAACATCAGAGAGTAGCAGCCATGCTGCTGGAGTTGTTAACTTCAAGTTCATCAGAATTTTCTCCTTCTTTTTTGTAATGATGTGGATTTTTCATATCTTCTTCATTTCCAGCCAGTATTAACATTTTAGATCCTGCTCTGTGTTTTCAATGTCACTTGTCTTCTTTTTTCTTTAACAGCCACAAATGAGGTTACTTAAACTATGCTTTTTTATAGCTGCATGTTACTGAGACACGTTTCAAGTCTTTCACATACCCACAGGCCACCATGAAAGTGTTTATTGTGCTCATAAGCATGCAGCTATGAAATCCTCTGTACTTGTGGTGCTACGAGCTGGCTGGTACAGTGTGTTGTTCCATTCTGCTCAGTCTTTGAGAGTTATGTGCCTCATGTTGTTAAAAATCTACCTATGAAAAGGGAAATTCCTCAGAGACTGAAGACTGGTTATTTGTGTTACAGATCACTTAAGTCTAATTCCCTCTTTCCCAGCTTAATTTACAACAATAATCATCTTTTAAATGTTTGATAAAGTAGTGTAATAACTAAATGTTAGACTCGGATCAGCACAGAATGGGTAGCATGACGCCACTAGACATCATAGGCTAAATGCTTGTGTCTTGGGCTGCAGCGCCCTTGCACTTTTCATCTAAGTTTCCTGCAAACAAGATAATTAGATTTGTGCCTTTTCATGCTGCGTGTGTGTGTGTGGCAAGAGGAAGTCGGTTCAGATCACCACATTTATTTTCCCTCCCTACCTGCTGAGCCAGCACAGAACACCCAGGTCCAAGGGGGATAAATGCCGCTGCTTCTCAGCCTAGTCAGGTTTGTGGAGTACAGAGCACTCGCAGTGTACAAGACCAGTTATGTAAAGCATCCATGAGTTAATGGGAGTTTGTATCTATTGCTCTAGGACTCTGCATCATTCAGAGATGTTCCGTGCTCCAGACAGTCTGGGAGTTTCAGATTAAGAAGAGGGTGGTCAGTGGGTCACTGTACCGCTGTTTTCATTTTGAAACTACATCAAATCCATTCCCCATACCTGAAACCAAGTGGGCAGCTGTGCTGCTGAAGCTCTGCCTGTCCCCTGAGCACCCCCTGTATTTCTGAACCCACATTCCTCGTTGTACAGATTATTAGCTTTATTCCTTCTCCCCATGGCCTTGCTTGCTCACCTACAATACAACAGTGCAACCATTCAACAACGGGTCAGATCTCTGAACATTAAAGATGCATATTGTAACCTCTTAACATACAAAACTTGCTAATTTATCTCCTGACAACCTGTGAGAGCAAATCTGACCTGTAGCTGAAAGGAACTGTCCTTTCTTGTCCTAGGAAAACAACCCCTGCAGGTGAGCGTTGGTGAAAATGGGGGATACAAGAGACATCTGTCCTCACCTGGATTCCATAGGAGAGGTGACCAGGGATGATCTGCTCCTCAAATCCAAGGTACAGGGTGTTCTGGTTATCAGTCCTTTCCCTTTTAGCTATTGTGCATGGGTTTGCATGTTTGCTTTTTGAATAAAATGCTGCCTGTCTCCATAGAGGAGAGGCAGAAGCTGTTCTTCCAGAGCTGATGTACGCTGCACAGCTCCCATGCAGTAAGCCTTTGTCGACCCCATCTGATCTATTTCTCACTGTCATTTTATCCTGCTCAAATGTCTCACTTAGCTAAAACGCTGCAAAGCATATATTTAATTGGCAGTGTGATATTAAAGGGAATACTGTGAGCTGCAGGTTGGCGAGGCCTGTCTTATAGAGAAGTTTCCCACTCTTGAAGGACTAGGTTACTTAAAAACCAAACAAGCAAACAAACCTTCTTTTATCATGAATATGCAGGGAACTTGCCAGTCTTGTGGAGCTGTGGGACCAAATCTCTGGGCTTGTCTTCAGGTAAAAATGGCTTGCTATTTGTGTGCATGATATGGTGGGACTTCTCTTTAATGGAATTTAAAAACAACAAAAAAGTATTGTACTGAAAAAAAAAAAGCGAGAAGCAAAAGGGGGGTTCACAGTAGGACTATCCACTGTTTCCACTGTTTATTGATGGATTCCAAGGAAAAGACTCCCTGGACTAAAGACTAACACTGTCAGAATATGTCAAGATGTAACAGTTCACTCATAGTGGTTGTCCCCTGGTAGTCCCAATAGGAATGAATAAAATGCCCGGCATTGACTGTTGGCTGGGTCCTGCCTCTGCTGGCAGTTGGGAAGGGAGGCTGCAAGTGTGAGATCTCAGAAGACATTGCTTAGGGCAGCGAGGTGGAAAGGAATGACAAGGGGCGGGCAGGGGCAGTTTATTTTTACACTGGAATGCCCAAACATTTTGAGACTGCTCAGATGAGCTGCTCATTGGAGCAGTTGCCTTGGAATGGAGCCTTTGTGTGGGTGCAAACCTGGTTCCAGGTTTTCTTTCTTAAATCAAACAATTCAATTTTTCCATCTTATTCTGGGCCCTGAATAAAACGCAGATTAGAAAACTGGCAAGATCAGTTCTGAAGTTGCAGCTGCTGGTGGGACTGGAGTTGCAGACTGTTTTGTGAAGGCTCTAATTTGGTGCCCATTGTACTTTTGCTCTTTTCTCTCACTAGATTGGTTGTCCTTATGTTGGTTGTGGGGAGTCCTTTGCTGACCACAGCACACTTCATGCACAGGTGAGATTTTCTCTGTTGTCCATCTTAAGACAGATGGAGTTGGATTTTTCCCATTACCTAATCCTCCTCTATCCTATTCTGGTACTACAGTGCTTCAGCTTGAGCCAGCTGTCAGATGAGATTCATTATTTCACCTTTTAATTTTTAGGCCAAAAAGCACAACCTGACGGTGAATCTGACCACTTTCCGTGTCTGGTGCTATGCTTGTGAGAAGGAGGTGTTCTTGGACCAGCGGGTGACCACGCACCTGCCGTCACCGCCAGCCAAGTTCGCTGAACCGGTGGGTCTGTGTCACAGCACGGCAGGGCTTAACGCTTGGCAGAGTACAAAATGACCCAAGAGGTTTCCACTATTGTTCAGGCTTTTGTTGTGATAGAAACTCTGTCACTGAAAGTGGCTACTTGTAGGCAGAGGACCAATAGCCTTATAGAACCTCCCAGCAAGAAGACTTCCAGATGACTTGAATATCCCTTTTTTGTTTTTAACCTATCATCTTCCATGGAACATCTGTTTCTGGGAGGAACCACAGCAGCTGTCACATCTTCATTTTCAGTGCATGGCCCATGGAAATTTTAGCTGTCAGACTAGAAACACATGTACTTGTGACACTGCTGCATATTCCTGATGCCTCTCTTTCC